TTGGTCTTTTTTCATATCCTCCAGGGTCTCACTAAATTTATTGGCGGTTTCCATAAAATTCTTGAAAAACCTTATAAACGTGGCCTTGAACTCTATATCCAGTCATTTGCTTTCCTCCATTTCTGTCATTTGTGACCTGTTTCTTTGTCTCCGCATTTTTTATGCTTCCCTGTGTTGGTAGAGTGGTTTTGTGTGCTAGGTGTCCTGAAGGGCCCAGTGGCTCAGCCTCCCCAGTTACCTGAGGTGGACACTCTTGGTGCACCCCCTTGTGGGCTTTGTGCACAGTCTTGTTGTAGTTATGCCTTGATTGTTGTAGGATCACTGGGAGGAATTGACCTCCAGGCCAATTGGCTGTGAGAATCAGCTGTGTCTGCAGTGGGAGAACTTCTGTGCTGGAGACACCCTTCTGGGGTAAGACTTGCTTCAGTGGGGCTTTGGTGCTCACTGAGTCTGCACCCTGAGTGTGTCACTTATGGATCTGAGGAGTTGTAATCCGGATGGTTCCCCTCTGACAACTGGGTACACTGGCTCTTGGATCTAAGGAGATGCTAATTTAGCCTCTGCCTGAGGTTACCCAGCAGGAGCTACGAAGAGAACTGCAGATTCCCCTTCCTTTTTTGGAGTTTGGAGGTGCCCTGATGAGGCCCAGCTGTGAAGCAATGCAAGCTGCTGTGGGGCCTTGGGCCTTCTCTTGGAAGTTCTGGGTCTGTCTGGCCCAGCTGCAATTTGTTAGGTAATTTTCAGGTTGCAAAGGGCCAGGGCATTCATATGCAAAAGCCTCTGCCGCAGCCTGGGTGGGGCGGGGTCTCAGGGAATCAAAGGGCGGAGCAAGCAGCTATGGCTGGTCCTCAGCCCTGCCCTAAGGGACCACGCATCTCAGTGTCCCGATAATTACTGCAAGCACCTCTGAGGGAAAGCCGCCCTCAAGTTCCGAGTTCTGCCTGCTGCCAGACAGTCCAGTTTCTCCCCGTATGAGTCCTGGGTCCCCAGAGACTTCCCGGAACCGGAGTTCAGAGCAGTCGGGAGCTTGTGACTCCCTCCTGATTCAAAAAGACAGCAACGTCCTCAGGTGCTAGCCCCTTTCCGCGCGTGCGCACGAGCCTCCGTACCTCTGCACTTTACTTCCGCAGCTCCTCTGGGTCAGTGTGCTTTTCTCTTTCCTTCTAGTTGTAGAATTTCCCCTCAGCCAGCCTTCCTGTAGTTCTGGATGATGTCCGTTTTGTCTTTTCATTGTATTTTTGAAGTTGTTGCATCCCCTAAAACCATATTCTCTGGAAGGGAAGTACAAATCTCTAGAGGGTAGCTAGCTAGTTTTGTTACATACAGTGTTATCCTGCACTGATTTATAATTTCTTGGTCTCCTTGTATCCCCAGCTGGTTTTATACTATCGCTAAAATTCCACAAATATATACAGCAAAATGCAAGTTTAGCACTTAGTGTACGCTCAGTGAACAGTTGTTAATAACAATTAAATTAAAGTTATGTAGGTTTTTTTTAAGTTCTTAATTCCTAAATTAAACAAGAAAGAAACAAAAAATAACAAATCCCCAGTGGTTCTGACTGTCTTTTTTAAGAGCACATTTGCAATGTATTTTCATTTTACACACAGAAAATGAAACTTAGCTGGATTATTTTCAATTTCAGAGTAATAATATTTTCAGCTTCAGACACTGTTTTCAATTGGTGCATCTTGTTTCCCCTTTCCTCCTAAACCTTTTCCATTATAGAAAAATTGACACATACAAAAATAGAATATTATAATAACATCTCATGTACATATCACCTGGCTTCACTAATTACTGACTCATAACCAGTCTTGTTTCATCTATATGCCCCACTTCCCTGCCACACTAAATTTTTTAAACTAAACATAAATATATCATTTCAGGTGTAAACATTTCCATTTGCATTGCTAATATATAAGGCCTAAAAAACCCCCACAGTGCTATAGCCCATTTAAGTAATAGCAATAATCCCTTATTATCACTAAATAATCCAGTCAATATTCAAAGTTCCCCTATATTTTAAAAATCAATTGGTTTGTTCAAGTCAAGTCAAACAAAGTCTCTAGACAATACATTTTATTTATTTATTTAAAAAATATTTTTATTGATTTCAGAGAGGAAGGGAGAGGGAGAGAGAGACAGAGACACCAATGATGAGAGAGAATCATTGATCAGCTGCTTCCTGCACAACCCCCCTGGGACTCTTCAGTCCACAGGCTGATGCTCTATCCACTGAGCCAAACTAGCTAGGGCTAGACAATACATTTTATACATTCTCCTTAAATATTTAAAAAATCTTAATTTTCCCTCTCCCCCTTATCTTGGAATTTATTGAAGAAACCAAATCATTTGTCTTATAATTATACTCAGATTCTGGATTTGGCTGATTCCATCTCGTGGTTTGTTTGACAGGTTAGTGTACCTCTGTCCCCTAAAAACTAGAGTTAGGCTGACAGTCTTGATTAGATTTAATTTTTCATCATAAATGGATAAATGGGGTTATATGTTTCCATCAGAACACATATATATCTGGCTATCTCTCTCTCTCTCTCTCTCTCTCTCTCTCTCTCTCTCTCTCTCATCCTCACCCAAGAATATGCTTAATGCTTTTTAGAGAGAAGAAGAGAGAGAGAGAGAGAGAGAAGAAAAAACATTGATCGGTTGTCTTCCGTGTGCACCTCAACCGGGGATTGAATCTACAACCTAGGTATGTGCCCTGACCAGGAATCAAACTGCAACCTTTCGGTGTAGGGGACGAAGCTCCAACCAACTGAGCCACCTGGCCAGGGCTGGTTATCTCTCTTTTTTATATTAACTTTCATCAGTGAGTTTAAGAATTGTCACCCTGATCCAACTATTATAAAGTTCTCCCTCAGCTTTTCACCTGTGGTCTTAGCTGCCATTCATGATCATTACTTAGATCCATTATTTCATTACACACTTCTTATGTCTTTTTACAATAAGCCCTTTCTTTCTTTCTTTTTTTTTTAATTAGAAGAAATATTTTATTTTATTTATTTTTTTATTTTATTGCTTAAAGTATTACAAAGGGTATTACATATGTGTCCATTTTTTCCCCCCCGCCCTAGACAGTCCCCTAGCCTCCCCTATCCCCCAGTGTCTTATGTCCATTGGTTATGCTTATATGCATGCATACAAGTCCTTTGGTTGATCTCTTACCCCCCTACCTCCTGCCCCCCAACCCTCCCCGGCCTTCCCGCTGCAGTTTGAAAATCTGTTTGAGGCAGCTCTGCCTCTGTATCTATTATTGTTCAAAAGTTTATAATGGTCTCTATTATCCATGAATGAGTGAGATCATGTGGTATTTTTCCTTTATTGACTGGCTTATTTCACTTAGCATAATGCTCTCCAGTTCCATCCATGCTGTTGCAAATGGTAAGAGTTCCTTCCTTTTTAGAGCAGCATAGTATTCCATCGTGTAGATGTATCACAGTTTTCTAATCCATTCATCTACTGATGGGCACTTAGGCTGTTTCCAGATCTTAGCTATGGTGAATTGTGCTGCTATGAACATAGAGGTGCATATATCCTTTCTGATTGGTGTTTCTGGTAATAAGCCCTTTCAAAGTTTTATTTTTTAATCTTATATGTTATTAAATATATTTAAGACATTAAAAAATTCTCACAGTCATAATAATGGTAATTAACATCTGTTTGACATTTAACACTTTACATGTTTTTATACACACCATTTCCCAAATGTTATCTGATCCTCTCAAAACACCTTCGTGGTGAACTGGCTCTGTGGCCTTGGCTTCTGCTAGTATAGTGCAGTTGCGCACATGGTCTTTGGTGGGCCATATATATGCATCTCCTGAGGTGTAGTTGATCAGGGGCAACTTCTCAGCTCCCATTAGTATCTACAATCTACTCTCGTCTCCTCTGAGTCTCCCCTCCCTTCTCTATCTGGAGGACTGACTGACCATAGAGTTTTTCCAACAAGCCTATGAGATCAGGACAAATGCAGAATGAAGAAATAGACTCAACCTCAGTTAAAAAAAGAGGACGGAGTAAAGAACAGCAGATATATGGGATGACCCTGGCCCAGGAACTTAGTTCTTTCTCCCTACAGAGAAGACAAGAGGAAGGAAGAATTGAATTTGACTTGGTGCTTAGTCACAAGAGAAAAAGTTCCAACGTGGAAATGATTACCAAGAGTTGTCAAGTTTATGTTTTTCCAATCCGAGCTGGGAACTATGGTTTGTGTGCTATGTATGTAGAATTCAGTTATGCACAAAGTTACATTCATGCGCTCCTGACTTTTTTTTTATTAACTATATTTTATTGATTTTTTACAGAGAGGAAGGGAGACGGATAGAGAGTTAGAAACATTTATGAGAGAGAAACATCGATCAGCTGACTCCTGCACACCTTCCACTGGGGATGTGCCTGCAACCAAGGTACATGCCCTTGACCGGAATCGAGCCTGGGATCTTTCAGTCCGCAGGCCGACACTCTATCCACTGAGCCAAACCGGTTAGGGTACTTCTGACTTTTTTGACTAATAATATGCAGGAACATTTTCCTTAATGTTAAAGTTGCCTTGTAACTATAACACAGACACATAAGCAGCCAAACCCAGACTGTGGGAAAGCTGCAGGTGAAAAATCTGTTTTTCTCAAGAGGCAAGACTGAGTTAATTTTTCTTCTATCAGCAAAAAGGGGACTAAAGAACAAAGTTTCCATTAGAAAAGATAAAGGCACCTTCAGCACATCTGGGTTGTGATGATAAATTTTCAACCTACCAAATAACTCACACTTATGTTTATTTTTAAACATCTACCTTTATTATAGTATAAGATTCACGAGGGCACAGACCATCCCTTTTACATTCTTAGCACCTAACTCAGTGCTTTGCACGATTCTGAAGAAGAATTTATTAAATGAATATTACACCCACATATGAAAGCTCCTTCCATACAAAGTACTTGATAGAGAGAAAGTACTTCATGGTCTTTTCTCTTCCTTCCTAGAAGAATATGTATTTCTTTGGGCACTGCCTGTCTTGCTATTGAAAGCCACGTCTGTTTTGGATGGCTTTGAAGGTAAGTCTGCTTTAGTTGTGTTTATAGGAGTTACTTAAGAAACTGAAGACAATATTTGTCTTCTCTGACCTTATTTTGTATCCAAAGGGTATCATGGATACAGCAGTAGTCATAGCTGCAAGCTGAAAGATGCTAAATAGTCAGCAGAGGTTGCCCTACCACCAGCATAGTCCTGGTCCCTTACGGAATTCTAACATGTTCTCTCCTTTTCCCTCCCAGCCTGAGAGCTTATCTGTTCTCATGCTTCTCTCTCTCTCTCTCTCTCTCTCTCTCTCTCTCTCTCTCTCTCTCTTTACTTTCTTTTTTTAAAGTATATTTTTTATTGATTTCAGAGAGGAAGGGAGAAGGAGAGAGAGATAGAGACATCAATGATGAGAGAGACTCATTGATCAGCTACTTCCTGCACTCCCCCTACTGGGGATTGAGCCTGCAATGTGTCCTGAAGGGGAGTTAAACCGTGACCTCCTGGTTCACAGGTTGACGCTCAACCACAGAGCCACACCAGCCAGGCATATTGTATATGTAGCATGTTACCCTCTCAATTTTAAAGTATTAGAAGGAACACTGCACAGATATGCCCTTTATTTTTATTTTTTGAAATTTAAGGCAAATTTTTAGAATAGCAGGTTACCCATTTTGAAATGTCTGCCTTTTTTGAAACTTTGTTTGTTTCTGCCCCTTCCTCCTTGAACAGGGGAACTCCATACTTCAAAACTTACTGCCCTTAGTAAAGAACAGTTCTTAGAGAAAAGGAAAACCCCAAACCTTTGTATTTTTAGGTTCCCCGCTCTGGGGGCGTAGTGGCCTTTCATCCCCTGCGGCCTCAGGATCCCTGGATGGAGGCATCTGGGAACGTGTGTGAGGGGCAGGAACGACTAGGGCCCTGGAGAGCTGGGGCGTCTGCTGCTGCTGAAGACCCCTGACAGGGGATATGGAGGAGCCTCAAGGAAGTCGGCAGACGAGCCTTCCAGGCCTTCTGGTTTATGGACCTGTCTCTGTCCATTGCTTAAAAGTTGGGATTATTAAAACTAATAATTCCTAAAGAACGCAGTTTTGTAGTATGAATCTCTTAGTAAAACATGGCATGATATGAAAAAGAGTCTGCAGTGCATGTTTTGAGTCGTTGTTCTGCTTTTTTGTGTTAGCCATCTGGCTTCTGGCCAGGCACAGCCCATTTTCTAAGCCGGTTGCACTGAAAACTATTGTCACGCAGAAAAAATTCCCAAATGTTGGGTACTTTTGGAAGTTTGCAGCCTTGCAATTATATTTATTAGTTAAACATTACCCTCTTTATGTGTGCGCTTATGAAAATAACAGCATGATGCCAGCTGATCAGGTGCTTGATGGAATTCGGCATTGATGGACCTTGATCATATTATCCACACAGGAAATTGAATTTGGGTTTCCATAGACATACACTGCTGCTGCCTATATTTACCAAGTCTCATCATCATGTCCTCTCTTTAGAAGTCTCCATAGAGTTTGGTACATCACTAAAGAATGATAACAGTGCCTTCAAACTTTTGCACAGCACGTTATTATGAATCAAAGGAAAATGGCATTGCCCTGACCAGTTTGGTTCAGTGGATAGAGCATCGGCCTGCGGACTCAAGGGTCCCAGGTTCGATTCTGGTCAAGGGCATGTACCTTGATTGTGGGCACATCCCCAGTGGGGAGTGTGCAGGAGTCAGCTGATCGATGTTTCTCTCTCATCGATGTTTCTAACTCTCTATCCTCCCTTCCTCTCTGTAAAAAATCAATAAAACGTGTTAAAAAAAAAAAAGGAAAAAGGAAAATGGCATTGATCGTAGAGGCAGACAGTATTAGAATTATTTGGGCCCTTAGCTGGGTTTCCTTCCTGGATGATTCAGTCCCCTCCTTTGTGTGTCTACTCATCCATCTGTGAAAAGGGGATAATTACAACTGTTCTTCATTTGCCTCAGAGGGATGTTATAGAGATTCATTTAAAAAGTTCATAAAGCTTTTTGAGCATGGAAAAGTAAAATTATAAGAAAATATATTGTCATTGCAGTGGTCCTTGCAAATCTTAAGTAATTCCAGTTATCAATATATTGATGACTATGCATTATTTCATTTTATTAGCTCTTCATGCTCTGTGAGTTTTCCCCAACTTGTGTATGTCTAAGAGAAGGGAGTTTGGAGAATGGATAATCAACCACAAATGTAGGTTTTAAATCATCCATTTTCTTTTAACTCACTTGCATTCAGGCTTGAAGCTAAAGAAGATGAACTTCAGAAACAACATGCAGTAAGCAGCAATCCTGAGCTTCCCTGGGCAGACCCATTATTTGTTAGGCTTATGATCAAAAGTGATCACTGGAGTTAGAAAATATTTCTTCTGGTCAGACCTGCTTGTTTCTGCTTTTTTAAAAATAGTTCCTGTGTAAATCTTGACAAATCACCTGGACCTTTTTAATTGACAAGTTTTTCTGAAGATTGAAAAGAAAATCAAAGTTCAATTGACATGCCCCCTATAATGTCTACTGTCAGTTATGGAAGAAGCAAGGCTATCATGGATACATCAGAAACACTAATTTCATCCAAAATATCATTTTCCCTGTTGTTCAACCTTCATTTTCTTTCAAAGAGGAAAGCAAAATGGTTTTACTGAAAATTGTTAAAATTTCATTAACAGTGCTAAAATTGCATCAACAACATGGGAAACAAAGGGAGTAAAAGTACAACAAATACATAGAAACCCAGCAATCCAGAATGAAATGACTCCTATTTTCCTCTGTTCCACAGCATGCATTTCTGACCTCCCATTATGAAAATGAACAACAAATGTTTGTAAGATGTTCTGGATTATTGGTTCTCAAGTATGGTTCCCTAGAGCAGCAACATCAGCAACACGTGAGAATTTGTTAGTTACATAAATCAGAAACTCAGGGGGTGGAGCCAGTTTTAACAAGCCCTCCAAGAGGTTCCCGTATGTGCTAAAGGGTGCCTCTTACAACTGGAATTTCGCAGGGCGGTGGGGACTGGGCTGGGCATCTTGTGGGCAGTATGAGCAGTGGCTGAGCTCATCACTCTGACTCATTAGTGGGTGCTCCTCTGTCGGAGCCAGCTCAGTACTTGTATTTTGGGAGGGGAATTATTCTCCTCTGGGATTCAGATTTCATTTCAGATAAATGCTCTAATGGGAGATATTTTGACTTGTGGTTAATACTGTATGCCATGATAGAGCTTTTCTCTATTGCTCTTATAACATTCCTTTACAGAGCTGAAGGAGGGGCCTAAGATGGAGAGAAAAGAGACAAGAGGGCCTGAAATAGGTTTGATCCCACCATTACCGTTTCTCATCTCTGCTACCCCCTCCCACTATTCTTTTCTCCTTTTCCTCCTGACCTTCCTGTGTCCAGCATGCTCTCCAGTGAACAGTGGGAGAGGTGACAGAATGAAGGTGACATATGTGCTAAAGATGGCTCAGAGAGAGGCTACCCAGGCTAGTCCTGACCTCACCCATTAGCCTGCATGATTCTGATGCCAGTCAGAATTCTAATTGCATCTTAGCTAACCATGACTATTCTGTGTCCAGCTCCACTCCCCCTTCCCTCTCAAAAAGCAATTCCTGGAAATAGAAGTGGTCTTTCACTTAAACAGATGTTACTATGATGTATATCCCAATTTTAACTGTTGGTGACCTAGTTTCCAAATGGACCCCAGATCCCCACCCCAGTCCTTGTTGGAGAGTGGCTAACAATGTGGCCCACTTCCTGAGGCCCACAGAGCATTTCAGTCCTGCTCACACATCTTAGCAGTCAGATCTGGGGACTAGTCATACGTGGAATCAGTATTCCCTGCAAGAAACCTTCCCTTAGGAAGTTTTTGATCTTTGCAACATCAAAGAGAGACTGAGAGAGAGAGAAGGCATTAATTTTCAGCTATAGTTTAAAATTAATATGTACAATATATAAAAGAGAGGAAACTGAGTGGACCCAACCACCTGAGACATCTGGGTCCTTATTTGTTCTAATATTAACTCTTTTTATGAGCTAATTATTCAGTGCACACACTGCAAGAGACTTCTGATTTAAGCACATTGTTGGTTTAATGAGAGTCCATATAATCAGTAAGCAGGGAAGTTCGGATTTTTCTAACACTGAAAGAAACCACGACTAAGGCATCTTAAAGCAAAAATTAGCAACATTGCTTGAATCTCAGAAGGTCTTAACTATGTGGATACATCTACTGTTTGCTTTTTGAGGAGAAATTAGAAAGTAGAACTGAACTGCTATTTTTAAAAACTCCCTAATATTCCTTAATCCTCAATTCCATTTTCCTGGGTTGCGTTGTAGAATGTGTCTTATCCTGCTATATGGGGCATCTTTCACTGTTAACATTTTTGTTTCCATGGACACTAGATTTGCAACATTCCCCCTAACCCTCTCTTCACAGATGATGTGGTGACAGGGGTTGACGAGTGGATACCCTTTTTAGATGATCTTATTGCTACTATAGGTAAGAATCCTAGAACTGTTTATAACTAAAAAGGACTTTGGGGGCCATAGTGCAACTTCTTTTATTTTATAAACAAGGACCCAAGTCCAGAAAGTGTGAGTGCCTTGCCCAAGGTCACAGAGCAACTTGATGAAAGAGTTGTGACAAGAATTCTGGCTTTTTAACTCGCAGTCAAGTACTGAACACATCACCCTTTTGTCTTACTGGTTTTCTTTTTTTTAAAACACTTGAAATTCTTTACCCTCTTGAGGCTGAGCTGAGCGGTTGGCCAACCTGGTGTTGATATCAGGCTTTTTCTTAAGCGATGAGGTTTTGATATTATCAACGAGCACCCAGGCAGGGAACTGCACTATCTAGTCCCAGGGGTGGACACAGATCAGATGGGCATTTGGAAAGCTGGAGGCCTTGTAGGGAAAGGTGACACATTACAGGCTGACATTACTGTTAAGTATTCTGATAGTATTCTGATTCCATGCAGAAGAGAGATCTCTTTCCCACTGGCTCTAATTTGTCTCTGTAGTCCCTCTTTCAGCAGGCCCAAGACCAGTCTTGACTAAAATGACATAGATAGAGGTCATCTTTTTAAAAAAAAATTCTGTGATGGAGGTGGTAAGCTCAAAATTTGGAAAAGGTTTGTATTTTTGAGAATGAAGAAAGTTTAAGTTAAATACTTCCAAAAATTAAATGAACATGAGGGAGAACACTCATGGAACCATCAATAATAATTTTTAAAAATCACCTAAAAATCTCAATAGTTCCACAGCTCAAATTATTTCTAGAAAATAATAGGTTTTAAGAGGACTGATGCATAGCCATTTTGGTGATTAACTGCTTAGATCTTTTAAAAAATATATAGATTGTTTATTGATTTCAGAGAGGAAGGGAGAGAAAGAGAGAGATTAGAAACATCAATGATGAAAGAGAATCACCGATTAGCTGCCTCCTACATGTCCCCCACTGGGGATTGAGCCCACAACCTGGGCATGTGCCCTGACCCAGAATCGAACTGGTTCATGGGTTGATGCTCAACCACTGAGTCACACCAGCCAGGCATATCCTCTTTTGTTTTATTTTTATTTTATTTTTTTTCTCTCTTTTTTTTTTCTTTTTTCTTTTTTTTTTCTCTTTTGTTTTAAAACATTTTTTTCAGTTACAGTTGTCATTCAGTATTAGTTTCAAGTGGATAGCAGAGTTGTTAGACATTTATATAACTTACAAAGTGATCTCCCCCTGCCCCTGACCCATAAGTCTAGTACCCACCCGGCACCATGCATAGTTATTACAATATTATTTATTATATTCCCTATTATGTACTTTATATCCCCATAAATATTCTGTAAGTGCTCTTAGATCCTCTTTTGAACGTGCTGGGCTGGTTTCTATTTCTCTGAAGTAGTCTATATTATTAGAATGCACACAGAGAAAGGTTCAGAGGTCTGCTTTTATTTTTTGACACAGTAAAATCTTTTTCAAAAAGATGATCTATTCTATGGATTTTTTTAAGCCCTCAGGTCAAATCATGTTCCCTTTGTATATTGTGATTCATGGTAAGATAAAAAACAAATAAACAAACAACCCACCACCGAAATTTAAAAAGAAGCCACTTAGT